TGGTAGGTGCAAATGAAAATATACGAGCCATCGACGTTTAAGGAGGTTCCCTCGGGTAACACGCTAGTCAATTGAGTGTTCGCGCAGTAACATGGGTTAAGTTAGCTGGCTTGTCGTCTGCTAGCCCTAAAACGAGCCCAAAAAGTCTTGTTTTTGCATCTTTTGTCAAAAAGATATTTTAAAAACGGCTGGTTACCTCTATTTTGAGACACGGTTATGGAAAGATGAGAACTTTCTCTACAATCTGTATATAATCATTTCCCTGCGAACTTTGATTTCTTTTCATAAATTGTAAATGTAGCTCGAATTTTCATGCGTTCCTATGTAGCCCATGTTAATTTTCGAAACTTTGATCACGTTTTTCTCGAGATTTTACCTGGCTTGGGCATGTAATAGAGTTATACCCTTGGATTCGGGAGGTAAAAATCTATCGATATTGATGTACGTACTTCTTGAGAAATTCGCAAGGGAACCTCATTAAAGATCCTCTTACAAATATTGCACTGCACACTTGCTAATGTCCGAGCTTATTGAGGTAAAAATTCCAGTGCTTGGAAAGTAAAACGTTAAAAATTGTAACACAATAAATAGGAATTGGAGTAAGAAGCATGTTACATCCAAAAGCGATCACAGACAGGCCGCTACCCATTATTACATTGATCCATATACATTACCAGCTGTGTAGGTACATAAGACACAAGAATCATGAAGAGCTTCTGCGAGGCAGTTAATGCGCACAATTCTAAGTAGAAAAAAATATATATACAAATTAAATGCGCATCAATGATTTTTTCGTGTTTACGCGTCGACCGAAGAAACTTTACAAGAGAGAGAGAGAGAAATGCAATAAAAAAAAATAAGCGAATCGAGCCTTGATGATATTATATATAAAAGCAAACGAGTTATTTATTATACAGCACGGCATGACAAGATAAAGCCAAAGGTAAAATCAGAAGAAAAAAAACAAGGAGAGAAATGAATAGAAAAAGAAAATACAAAAAATGGCGTAGACGCGCGCAAGTGCGATGAAAAAAAGAGGCGGTGATAAAAGGTAAAAAGAAGGAAAAATATAATGCACAAACGTACGCGCAAGTACGAGCGAGAGACAAAGAAGAAAAGCATCAGCGCCGGAGCGTCGCACGTGCTCTGCTGGGCTCTGTTCTGAGAGAACAAGCAAAAACATTTTGCACATATACATACATTATTTACACGCACATTTGCGCGCAATCACGACAGACACGATGAGGTCCCTTTCTCAATGTATTCCTTCATACTCACACATATAATATGATGCAACATTTATATGAATACATACTCGAAACCACGACGAGTTATTATAAAAGTGTAATGTGTACAGTGTAGAATGCTAATGTAAAATTATCAAATTGAAAAATTGAAGAAAACCGAGGACCGTCATTAGTAATAGCGCTTTTATAACAAATAAGCGTATACAGTATAACGACGAAAAGAATGCGAATGCCCGCAAATTTATGTAAAATGCAATATGTTTTCTATTGTAAAAATAAATATAATATGAACAAGTACTCAAGTGTAAAACTTGAAAAAAGAGCAAAACAAGAGAAAATGTGATGGTGCGAAAGAGTGTGAAAATGACGATGATACGTAACTGAAGCTGTAACAAATGCATGGCTATCCTCATTGTTGTTTAATAGTGTTTATATGCAAAATTATTTTTTCACAAAGCAACTGCGTGCACACGAGAATGAACGACATAATAATCGCGTAATCTTATTATGTCAAACACGATTCACTTTTAGCAAACTTCTTCGCTTACTTTAGTAAGCACGGTTCAGCCTTTCTCGAAATCATCGGTACAGCTCGAGCAGCCTCAAAGGCAAATATATCGCAAACGTCCTATAAATTAGCCGAGTCGAGACGAGCGCGAAGAATCTTGAAAATTTCCCGTAAATTATTTTAATACCGAGTGCAATAACCCGTCGAAGCGTGAAGAGCGAAAAGTAGCGCTGAGCTTCTAATAATCTTGTATCTATAGTACATAACATATTTTTCATGCAATAAAAATTTTTCAACAAAGACATGTTAAACTAATAATAATATAGAGTTATTTTGGATAAAGATGTACCGAAACTATTTATAAATAATAAAACAATTTTCAGGGTTTTTCTCGGCTCAAACCCGACTGACTCACCCCGCCCTTTCTCTGCTAATATATTCTTGTACTTATTTATTGTTTAATTCATTTTTTATCGTCGTGCCAATAAGTTTTTTTTTTATTGGGTTAGAATTGCAAGTTGCATCTTGTCATCGCGATCAGATGTGTACTGACAGAGAAAATCAATATTTTCCATTCACATTTTTTTGCAACTCGATACTAAATAAATACAGTTAACATAAATAAGTACAGTTGACTCGTACGATATTAGAAAGCTTTTGGTTCATTATTGTATAACTTTGGTGTACCGATAGAATAGCAAACAATTTATGAAAGTAGGAAAAGTGAGGATGATACTTCGTTGCTATTGCATTTCGCTAAAATGAATTCATTTACACGATTTGATTTAGGGATATGTATTAATAAAAAGGACAGATAGAGAGAAAGAGAGAGAGCGAGAGAGAGAGAGCAAATGGAAATGGACTAGAGAAAAAATCGATACTCTTCTAAAAAGAGGAATCGTGTGAGCAACTTATACACGAATAACGTATTTTTCATAATCCGTTCTATTTTGGATAATGCGTGTACAGAACGTGCAACGTGTTTTTGTATAATGAGTCATGGAGCAATGAAAGCAATAATAAAATTATAGTAATAGTAATCTTTAAATAATATATGGACATCGCTGAACAATTTGTATCGACGATGATTTTGTTATTTCATGCGATTTTCCAGCATAAATACATTTTACACAATAGGACCATTCGTGTGTATGTGCGCGCGCCAGTGCGTATTTGACGTATCGTAGGTGTCAAAAAAATCTGTATGCGTCCGTGCGTGAGTGTATGAGTGTGTGTGTGTGTGTGTGTGTGTGTGTGTGTGTGTGTGTGTGTGTTTATGCGCGCGTTTGTGTCAGAGCCTGCAAGCGAAAAGCAAATGCATTTATTTGATGAGATTAAAAAAGTTTCAGTCGATTGTGTAATTTTATATCTATATAAACATAAATTTGTAACTGTGTGAGTGTACAGGTGTGCTTGATTCATCTGCGGCTATATTACATAGATTACATTTATGCGGTGTACCCAAAAGCACGAAGCATGGAATGAACAATTTAACAAAAGGGAAATTTATTAGATGCATATACGCAATTCAGAATAGCAAAAAAGGTAGAAATTGTCGCGGCTCGTAAATCTTATACATATACAGTATACTATAAAGGTAAACATATAGACGGATGATTTTTTGATTGTAAATTTTCAGATCCCAAAGACTTGAGAGGGATATCATACAAGCGCGAAGAAATAAATATAAAAATATAAAGATCACATAAAGCTATAGCAATTTTGTTTTAGCAAACATTAAAGTTTACCCATAGTAAGCGAACTTAATGAAAATAATTGTGTTCGAAACTCCACGATCAAAACGCATATAATTTTTAATTTGCATTGACTTTTAAATTTGGTTAATATGTCGAACCAATCAGAAGATTATGAATTTTTCAATGAAGGAGACTAGTTAAAACGTAAATGATACACCATTGCAGTAAAATTTTAACAAATGACGATCGACCAAATTCAAAAAATGATTAGATTCAAAGTTTGACTCATTTAACATGCATCTTTAAGAAATCTTTATATCATTGAAAGTAAATTTTGTAAATTTTTAAATATATAATTATATATAAGTGTTGTTTACCATTTTCAAGAAGAGTCAAACGCATTTCCCTTATGTTCTACCATGTAACGATGTACGATGCATAACGTATTCACATACATCTTTCAAGTATAGAACCACCAGGTATGGCACCATCCTTCTATAAACAGTTTTTTTTTTTGTTTTTTCATTTTTCAAGTAATAATAGAAGATATACGTAAAATTTTATTATTAAATCAGAAATCTAGAAAAAATGAACAAAATTATTGTCATACTTGCATGAAAGACGAAAGAGGAATTTTCGATCACGTTATGGAACTTTTGAAAATTGTTAGTCGAAACGCGTATCGATGGTTACAACATTTTTTTAACAATTTTTGAATATTCGCCTAAGAAACTAAGAATTTTAGTTGAAATTATGTTTGGTGGAAAACTGTATGTTAATAATTATGAATATATTGAAAAGATTTGAACATTAAAAATTAAAAAAGAAAACGTTTAACGATAATTTACACTAGCCATTTTTAAAAAGTTTCATAAAGTATCATAAAAAATGGTTGAATCCGAAATATCGCCTTTCGTAATATGAGATTTTAGTTGATGACTTATTAACCTGTTGAATATACATATGATTTTTTATTGTTTTTCGTCGAAATTCGTTAGTTCGAATCGTCGGGGCGAGCAATGACGCCTTAATGAAAGAGCCACTACTTGCGTACGTGATGCGACGCTTACATATAAATATACACAATATTATACAGACAGAGACTCTAATTATCTCATTTGTCATCATACTGATAAGAAATGTCAAAGAAAATGTCAGAGGCAAATTTATTTCTGTTCGTAGATGAACAAATGCATATCATAGTTGTAAATGAACAATTTGTGAAATAAAAAACTGCAAACTGTTTGTGTTAATGGTATGTTTTTTTTTTAAATATATACTGCTACCCAATATCATTCCTTTCTTTTTATCCAAGGTTACATTGAATTTATATTATCATCAGCTTCATATATTTCATATCTAATTATTTTCACATATCAAACCGACTGTTGTATAGCTTTTTATTAATGCCTTGCATGTATTGTACTTGAAAAATCATCGTTATTTGCTTTAATTGTTTTTGATGGGCACGAAGTTGAGATAAAAAAACTTGGCTCGTTTTTACATTTATGCTAAGAAATATCAGGCAATAGAATATATAAATGAGAGATGCCGATGACAGGTAATGAATCGGACGCGAAAGCGCGTCGAAAAAGCAATCAGAAGCGCTGCGAGGGTGAAATTAACGTTACTTGTACTTACTGCCACAGGTATCTTTAGCCCTGGGTCTCGAGCCCGTTGCAGGTTGGGGCGGTTTGAGCGGGCGCGGGGCCGCCGACAGCGTGTCGCTCCTGTCGTCGGCTGGCTTCGCCGCGGGCCTCGAGGGCCTGGCGCGTCGCTGCGGAGTCTGCCTGGCCAGCTTCCCCTCGAGCTGGCTGCTCGAGCGCCACGCCGTCCTGCAGCACGCCGGACAGCAGCACGACGACAAGCCGTTCACGTGCGAGCAGTGCGGCCAGCGCTACCGCTACCGCTCGGCCTACGTCAAGCACCGCGAGCAGAACCATCGGGCGCGCCTACCGGCCGACAAGCTCTTCACCTGCGACGTCTGCGGCATGCAGTTCAGGTGAGCAATTTAAAGCATCGGCCGAAATGTCCGATCGATCCTAACGCAAACGTTTTCAGGTACCTGAAATCCTTCAAGAAGCACCGCTTGAACCACGCGCTGGAGCGTCTGCAGCGGCCCCTGTCGAGCGAGTCGCAAGGCCCGAGCGAGCGCAGCGACCAGGTCTCGAGCACCGGAGAGCCGTCGTCGCAGCTGGAGGGGGGCGACACCAGTCCCCTGGCGCTGGACCTCGAGGAGCGCGCCGCTAGACCTCGGGACAGTCCCGAGAGGCAGCAGGAGGCCCGGCGGCCAGCCACGCCGACGGCCGGCAGCGACGCCGAGGACGCGGCCATGGACGAGGAGGTGCGGCTGGCCAACGAGGACGGCGCGACCAGCCTGAACCTGAGCATGCGCAGCGCCCTCGGCAGCTTGGCGGCGGCCGCGAGCACGACCAACAGCGGCGCGGCCACGACCAACAGCGGTAGCGGCAGCGCCGGTGCCGGCCCCGGGCCCGGCGCCATCAGCGAGGCCGAGCGCCGGGAGCGTCGCTTCGCCTGTCCCTTCTGCGGCAAGTGCGTCCGCTCCAAGGAGAATCTCAAGCTGCACGTGCGCAAGCACACGGGCGAGCGGCCCTTCGTCTGTCTGTTCTGCGGCCGGGCCTTCGGGGGCAAGAGCGACCTCACGAGGCACCTGCGCATACACACCGGCGAGCGACCTTACCACTGCGAGATGTGCGGCAAGTGCTTCGCCCGGGCCGATTATCTCTCCAAGCACCTGACCACTCACATACACCAGCGCTGAGGTCGACTCGCCAGCGGGCTCGGTTCCCCGGCTTTGCGGGGATAGCTCGTCCAGGCCCGTCCATCTCCTTTGCCATGGATCGACTTAACCAATACCGAAGCCTCGGCTGCGACTCGCGACTAATATGCGACTAATATGCGACTAATATGCGACTTATATGTGACTATCCACGTCCCTTTCGGCGCTCAAACCCCTTCTACAGAGAAATTAGCTCTGTATAAATACAAAGCATGTGATATGAATCAATCGAACCAAAGATACAGTAGCTACGCGCAAACGCTAATTTTAAATATTTCTTGAAACAGAATTTCCATTTTAAATAGGTAGTCTTTTGACTGCTTAACGAACATTTCACAACGAATTTCGCGCACGCTTACACGCTCGCGACAGCGATTATAAATGCTTCCGGCCAATGAAAATGCGTACAGGCTTTTCTTTTAATACACGCTTTGACCAGCGTACCGAGTCATCTTCTTTATCTCATTATTCGACGAATAACGTCTTCGTCATTATAGCCAATTGTATAAAAAACTTTTGAATTCGTTAAGATTTGAAACTGGCCCTTGAAGCAACAAAGCCAAAATAAAACAAATTCGAGTTGACGGGAAAAAAGGCAGCAAATGTGTCCTCGTGGTCTAAAATTGAAACTCTGAGGATGAAAATAATTCTGCGATTGTGTGTTAAAAAAAGTGTTGGAATACGGTACTTGGAATATGCTACGACTAACTTATTTGCCACCTCACGAACGCACACACATGACAAATGTCGTCGTTGAGTCTGCATTATAATAACAGCGAGAGACGTTAGGAGGGAAAAGCCTCGGACGCGAGCTTGCAAAATCACAAGAGGACGGCCGCGCACGTACGATATATATATCGAGTTTAACGTCTTTACTTCCGCAGAAGCCTAGAGGAAATGCGCAGCTCAACTTGCTCAAGTCAGAGAAACTTGCGAGCTTTTGAGCTTTCAACTCTGACGCGTACGAAGCTCTCGGGAGCTCTTTGCTGTAATCCCGCGCGTTAAACCTTGGCGGCCTTTTGCTCGAGGCTTACGTCAAAGCGGCGACCTGCGCTCCTTACACGCAGAAATTTTATCTATGCTGGTCCTTAACAACCATCTTTTACATTTATTAACGACAACTTTTTTATCAACACACTTTATCGTTATTATTTTTTAATTCTTAAGTATGAATTAAAAATTAGCACGTTACCAACGCATTGATTGACAGCGGAAACGACTCAATTTTTCTTACAAAAAGCAATAACAGAAAACTAAAGATAAATTAAAACCAAATTTTCAAATATATGTAAATGAACATTATGTTGCCATTTTATAAAATATCGTTTAATAAAATAAACGAGAAAAATTAATATCTATAATATACATAATATATCCATTATTCGGGTACGTAAAAAAACAAATAACAACTTGAGATCGCTTATTGGCGCAAAAAAAAGAATAGTTATAATTCAAACTCGACGTATATGTATAGATATCTACTTACTATAGTATGAAAAGAAAAAGTCAAAACTTTCAATGAGGTCCTCCAAAAACCCACAATACGTAGCACGGTCCATACGTCGTCCTTGTAAAAATATAATTAATAACTGATATATATAATAAAGATTGGAAAAATTTTCAGACGATATGTTTACATCATATGATGAACAAATTTACAAAATATTAATAAATATATTGAAAAAAAAACTTTTTTGCAAATCTCTTGAAAATTCATATATTTCAATGACATGATAAAATAGAGATTTGCAAAAAAATTATTAGCCCAATGTTGATTAAATGTATATAATTATAACGTTTTACTTATTCAAGAATAGACTTAATTGGAGCAAGTTAATAGAAGAAGGTGCTATATGACATAATTTTAGTTCGCAAGAGTCGATACTCTACATTTTTAAAGAGTAAAACGTGAATTTAGCGTGATTAATAAACTAAATTACAATCTAAGCACACTTGAAATTGGTAAAAAAGCATGCCTGTGTGCCAAACAGTATTTCAGGGTGACGTCTAAAATATTTAAAGTTAGACAGGAAAGAATTTTAACATACGCGTCCATAATATCCCTCCATTTATGAAACGATTAAACCAAGCCACTGTTAAATATTGCATAATTTTTTTCCATAAATTCTTATTTATTTTCATAAAATTTTAACTGCTCATAGAACCCCGTTTGCATAACCAAAAATGAAGTTTTTTGGTGGTGCAAAAAAAATGATTTAATTAACAATTGATATTTATTGACTAAATTAAAAAAAAATGCGCAAGTTACTTTTTTTGAATGAGCGTTTTGCGAGCATATTATAACAATCTCATATTTAATAAATATATTTATTATGACCGACAGTATAAAGTATTCATTGATGTCAAATAGGATGTAATGAATTATTTCCGTGATGATCAAATATTGAAGGTTGTTTATAAATACTATACGATGTTTATAAGACAATTTTTTAAATAAAACAATTGAAACTAATTTATTTAATCTAAATATTAAATAATATAAAAATAAATAGAAAATATTATAATATTCGACATTAATTTTAATGAACGTCACGGAATATTTGGGCATTTTAAATATATTAAAAAAAATAACTTTATATTCGATACAACACCAAAAGGTACAGTAAAATAATAATAAAAAATATATATTAATTAATTCTATACACAATAAAATTCTAATATATTATAAATGATGAAAAATTAATTATATAATATATATGAAGATATATTTAATGAATGTTCCTATATTTCTACCATGTAAGGAAGTATGTATTATACATGTACCACACACAGGTATCGATGGGGATTTCAAATTTCTGTATAAAGATATAAATAATGATATTACTTCATGATTCTTATCATTTGAATTATAACAGTCAACAATTAATCTTCGTGTACAAAAATTAAAAATTAAAATTGAAGACGTTCTAATTGATAATGTGGACATGGCGTAAGTATTTTATCAAGTTATTACCGAGCACAAAAGTTTTTAAAAAGACTAACTAAAATTTGCTCCATTTCCGTTCAATGACATGGACAGATTTTAACTGAAATGTAACGACAAAGAATTTTCAATTATTATTAAACATCTCAATAAAAAGTAATTAAAAAAAAAAAACTTTTAATGATACTTATGAAATTTTTAATATAACCACGCTCGTAACAGGAAAAAAGGTAATTCATGAGCATATAAAAGCGAGGGCCTTCCTATTTTTACTGAAACATCAGATGTGATATTCAAATTTAAAAAAATTTATAAATTTAAAAAAAAAATTATAAACAAGTGTTTGCATGAGGAACTGGCGATTTAGGTTAACATTTAAATTCCAATTTTAGTAAATTCTATACAAAATAACCTAAAATGCAAAAATTCATTCGAGGTTCATAGATTTGGAAAGAGCTGATACATCCATTATCACTTTATTTTGAGTAGATTGGGCAATATTCAAATATAGTTCAACAAAATTTCTGCAAAAGCTTTTTTTTTCAAAATTTAATAAGTTATACATTGTAGAAATATTTTTCATATAAATGTTTATGCTTCTCAATATAATTAAAACATTTCAAAGGTCATAAAATGAAACACGTTGTGATAAAGTGAAATATGATTCATTTCAAGACGTCCGTCAGTTATGATATGTGATATTTTAAATTTTTATAAGGTTAATTTAGTGATCCAATTATGAATCGAATATTGTTTCAACTAGAATTAAAATGACACATCCATATAAAGAGAGAAATATTATGAGAATTTTTTCTATTACATAGAATTTCAAAATGAAGATTATTAATCGGTAATTACATCAGTTTTAAATTAAATGTGCCAAAAGTACAAAATCATCAGCGAAAATCATACAGGAAGTTAAAATGTGTTAATTTTTCATAATTATTTTTTAGTAAACGATTACGGAGCAAAGATATTTACAGTTTAGCGATTTATTCGATTTTAGCGACAAAGTCGGGAATTGATGAGACGATTACTAAAACAAAAAACGTGACCGTGACGTATATACATATTGTTCGATCGAGGTTGTATTGAAAAAACTACCAACTTAACGTATGTCAGTCGGTCTATGTCTCCAATTGAAGAGGGACATGCAGGTAGGCAATCTTAGATATTTTAAACTTAAGAAAAAATACAAAACTGTCTCTAAAATTACATATAGTTATAAATTATCTTTCACTTCAATAATTCCTTCTAAGAAAATTTTCTCGGTGTTTTTTCGGTGTCTAAAATAAAATTACAATATAAAATTTTAACTATTGAAGAAAAAAAGATTTTTTAATGATTCTTCTTGAGAGCGTTAATCTGTAAATAAAATATTATATGATTTTGAAGTGAAAATTGCAAGAATAATGAAGAATGCAATGGATTTATTGCATAAAACTATTACATATATATATACATATATATGAATGATTAAAATTATCCGAATATATTTTATAAGATGTTAGCAGAAAAGATGTAAATTGCATCTTAATTAATTTAGAAGTAAGTTGTTCAATCTAAATACCATAATAAAGATTATTCTAGGTATGCTTTTATTTATATCAAGAATACGCTTATATTTTTAAACGAATTATCTATAACTATTGAGTCCTATTCGTCAATAAGTTTTTAAAATTTTTAAAATATTTATCATATATTACATATTGATGATCAATAGAATGCGATTGAATCTATTTTTTTGGAATGAGCAAACCACGTACTTTATTGAAAGCATCATTCATTAATGAGTACACAATAAACGCATAAAGTGTTAGTTAATTTTATATGACCAAAAAATAGATGAAAAAGCTAAAGAAACCCAAGTGCAAAGATTAATGTTCTCATTAACTTATGACAATGTTTTTCGCCAAAGTATGCATATGCTAAAGTGCATATACAATACACAAGTGACAGATTTTTAATGATCTTATTAAGTAAATCTCATACTATTCGTTCATTCGAATAAACGATATTTTGACTGTACAAAATCTTAAAATATACTTTTTTCAAATAAGTTTGTCGAATTAAATTTTTGACGTGCAAAATTTTACAACATTCAAATATATGAGAAAATATCTCATTCCTTGCAAACATACGTTCTACATTTGATCAAGTGTTCAAAACATTTAAAGAATATGAATATAATATAGAATAATTAAACGATACTCAATTATGAAAAAATTCAATTATTTAGGTAAATTATGCTCATATATAACAATATTCGTACTATTGCCCTTGATATAATTTTGAAATAACCAAATTTGAACACTTATCGAATGAAAATATTCACAACGAAAGAAAAAAGGAAGGAGAAATAATTCAATTCGGATTTGTTGCACCAAAAATTTGAATATATGGGTGATTTTCTGCCAACTGAACTGGTAAAAAAAATTGTTATACATCTTTCATGAGGGATATATTGTTTGATATGTCGGAAATTCCCAGATTTTTTTTAGAACTTTCGGAATTTTCATAAAAATATTTACTACAGTGATCTGAGCAGCTATTTATTATAAAAAAAAATACAAAATTCAAAATCTAATCAAATATCATCCGGATTTTCAACTTCAAAAAATTTACGAAGTTTCTTCAGAATATCAACTACTCCCTCCGTAAATAGTTGTAGTTGTTTGATTTTTTTCACGTCCAGGGGAGTTCTAAGAATATCAAAAAACGTGGAAAACCCACCAAAAGAGTTATTCTCGGTAATATTTTGCTTTTTAAGACACTCTATGCTAAAGTGAAAAATTTTCGAAGTATTCGCGATCAATAAGAGTTTCGAGAAAATGGCAACTTCGGGTCTCTGGTTAACGGTGATAGATGGTCCTAAAAATTCTACCAAAATTCTGGAACAACCCTTACATATCACACAATATTATTACCATATCAGGTATATAATAAATTTTGATCAAATGAGTTGGCAGAGAATCACACGTATTTATATATGTATATTATACATATATTTATATATGTACGAAAGAAAAAGTAAGGATGGCTAAAAAAAATGAAGTAAAATTGGAAATGAAAGGAATGAAGTTATTGGATCCCTTCAAAGTAATTTAGTTAAACATCTTTCGTTAGAATTTATTATAAATAGTTGGTCAGAACTGTTTTTTTCTATTCTTTTCTTTCTAAAGTAAATTAAAAATTCTAATGTAATTATTAACAACTTGTATGTTAAAAATATTTTTTAGCTCGTACTAAATGTGATATTTAATGAATTGAAAATGAGCAATCCAATTGTAATACAAAATGTTATGTTATGGCGAATATAGTTTTCATCTAATGAACTATGAATATAGATAATATTAAACTTTATATTAATCGTGAAAATCATTTTAAAAAACATACAGAATATTAAAATATGTCGATGTCTCTCGTACAAATGAAAAATATTCAATCTATATTCATTATTTATGCTGGAGTAACTGTATCTATTTGATCTAAGCTCAAAATTATTCGAACGAAAAATTGTCAATAGACATTAAAAAATTAAGTAACCGATTAGAATAAAATACTGCATCAGAAGTTTGATATCTACAATAACTTGCACAAAAGTTGGGTGCAGTCGCTTTGTTATACATATGTATTTAAATAAATTTGAAGAATACATATTATAATGAAAATCATAGATATAAATAACAAAGATGAACACGAAGGAATGTCGAAGGATATGATAAATGTTTATGTAATATACCAAACGTAATAAGCAATAAGAATAAAATGTACATCTTATATGCATCTTCTAGTTATTAAAAATTGTGAGACGTTTGGTAAACAATTTTTGCACCTATAAGCGAAAGTCATTTGTGCAACAATTTGATATAAAAAATAATCGAGGCAACGCGATACCAATCGATGTTACATGAGTATGTTGCGCTATAACGTAAAAAAGTAAATGAAATCTGTCCAATTATGAAGAGCCCTTGGGTATCAGACGTTGTTATGAAATAGTGACTCTATACAAAAGTCTTTCTTCTTCTTGTTCGACTTCTTCTTCCACTTCTTCCATGTCGTAGTTTCTATTGGAGATAGTCTTTTCGAAAATTATTTTAATAATTGCAAGTACTCTAGCCAATTATCCTACCGTCACTATAATAAATGTGTATTGCGCGTAGAAATAATAGAAACATTTAATCCAGTAGCGATAGATTTTTTTGTAGAACATAAATATATGTTCACCGTATTGTACCCTTTAAAATCTATGATAATAGTTGCAAACCCGATTAACAATACTTTTTTATAACCATTTTCACGCAAATGAAATTGACTAAACATTGATAAACATTAAAAAATTGAATGAAATGTCGCACTCAAGTTGAGGCCACGTAAAATTAATATACGTAATATGATAACAATAATTTTTCAGGCTCTAAAGAAAAATGATGCTGGCATCGATAAATATATCGTCTACCTTTCTAATAATATGCTTCAATAAAAATGATTAGTTAAATTAGTGTTACAAACGTTAAAAAGCCCAATAATTAATAAATGCAACATCTATCACCAAAGGGTTCTTCAAACGCATATTTAAACAATTTTATGTAATGAGCTCGTGGATACATTCTTTTTCACTGATGCCAATTACTTGATAGTATATAAAGATATACATAAATATTGTATAACCAATTGTTGTCTACAATACGATGTTATTTTTCTAATTGATATTCGATTGTTATGATATTGTTGAGGACACGTGTGCGAGTACATCGAATTTTAGATCGAAGCGATAGAGATATAAGTACGTATAATATTTCGCTGAAAACAGCGAAAATTATTGAAAAAAAGTAGTAGGAGAAATAATGATGATAGCCTAACCAAGTTGGATAAAGAACAACGTTGATAATTTATATATCCAACGAATCGACGTGTATGCTTTAAAACAAAATAATGTGTGGAATAATAGCCATGGAAATGCGAGAGCCTGAAATTGTATATTAGATCGAGACCGTACTCGGAAGAAAGTATTGTCGATAGAAAAATAATAGATTTTAACAGCGATTTGATATAATTGAAGTCACTTAAAAAACATTGTAAGTAATATTTACTGTATTATTAATAAATAAACAAATAAATTAAATATAATATTAAAACATAAACTTCATAAAAAAATAACGGATTTTGACTAGGAGCGTTCAATTATGTACACAATGCCGAAGAAGCAAAAATAATAAATTAATAAATTAATATTTATAAATGTCATGTACGACAGGAAAGAAATTATTATAAATATACAACAGTGCCAAGATTTTTATCAACTTAAATGTAAAAGATTCAGTAGACACACAGACAAGTTGATGAGAGACGTAGTTGTCCCTGAGAAGTTTTCAACGGCGTACATTTTTCATTGGTCACTTAAATTCTAAAGAAAAATTAAAAGTATGTAAGTATCTTTTTTAAATTTAGTCAATTCATCATCAACTTATTCTTTATAGATAGTCAATTTTACAAGTTTTTACGTACTTCAAAAGCTAATTAATAAAACAACGAAATTTATAAAGCGATACCGAATTTCTCATACGTAAAAACCTCAGTGTGTATATGAAACTGTGAAATGTTATGCAATGCAGTAAAATTTAATTTTGTGATATTTACTGCACACTATCAAATATATTTTAAAACAACTACATTATAAAAACGGTAATATGAATATTTTAAATAAAATTCTGAATTGGTGAACTTTGACACTTACTTTATTGACTAAAAATATTGAAATAATAGTGATGAGTAGGCGGCAATACAATTTTTTAACAAAAAAAATCTTCTGATAAAAAAGAGCTAATTTGTCTTGTTGCGCAATTGTTTCTCAGAAAAAATGAACAGTCACTACGAAGACTATTTGTTAAATAATCAATTGCAACAAAGTCAACTAACTTATAAAAACTAATTATGTTAATATTAATTTTTTTGTAAACTTATTAGTACAATGTGTAAATATTTACCAATAGAGAAATGGAATTAGAAAAAAAGATGAAATGTTGCTCGTTTTTGAACTTTGGCTGGATAAGAAATGAGGCAACACTAATGAGAACCATATATGTGAAAATAAACCCTCTCCAATGCGTGAAATATCGCATCAAATGATGCTGCCACGAGTCGAGAGTCTGTATTTTTTGTAAGGCGGAAAGCCATTTAAGATTGTGATAAACTACAAGCTCGAGACAGCATCAAAAACCATCCGTGCACGTTCAGCACAGGCACTTGTGTATATTGTTATTGTAATTATGTACAATTTTGTTTTTGTAACCAATTTTTTTACTATTTTGCAGTAAGCTACAACTGTATGTTTTGTTTGAAAAATGTATTGTTTTTTGTAATCAAAGGCGATCATGGCGAGTTGAACTTACTTTTAGATGATTTTTTAATCAACAAGTGAATTATTACTGCACTGAATTGTTAATGTCATCATTAAATAAAATAATTTATGTTCTTTGTACACTTTGTTTTCAGTGGGACGAAGGATTTTTTCCAAGTAAAATTGTAAAAATAATAGCAATAAATAAATAGATCGTGTCTGAGAAAAGAAACAAATTTTAAATATTTTTATGTTATCGAACGAGCTTAGCAACGAGGATCCCTACATTTTTCTTGTATGATTGATTTGTCAAACGCTATGGTCGTACATCTATAGATTTTTATCGATCGAAACAAGGAATGAGTAAAACTTATTAAGTAACTGGTGTAAAATTCGAATAAAAAATCAACACTTTTATTACTGATGGGCTCTTTTGTATTTAGAATTTAAATATTAAAATGTAATTGTTTTTAACTAATGTAAAAGAAATTGACTCGAGCCCATTAATTAAACAGGCCCACAAAAGTATTTTCTGATAAATTATTGGACCAAAATGTTTTTTTGACATACATGTTTAACTTTTTCAAACTAAACGTCGTTCGCTAATTGTTTCTTGTTATTCGCCTAATAATTATTAATCATTATTTATCAAATATAATAGCAACAATAATTTTGTGTGCATAAATTAAAATTACAAATGTTTTGAAAAAAAAGCAAAAAAACGAAGTGCTAACAGCACATTGAAAAAATTTGTCTTCTACATCAAATATAACTTAAATTTAATTTAATAATCAAGATTTTGGGTTTCAAGCAAACTTTGAGCTTCAAATATTACATGAAATTTATCATTCTTGATGACAGAAAAAATATTTCCAATATAAGTGGGTGGTGATATTACACTGAATTCAAGTTATTACAATTTGGCTTACTAGAAAACCATTTTTTGCTTTGTGGGCCTATGTTATCAAATCAATTCTATTTAACACTATTTGTCAATCAAATGTATTTACATACAGTTGATTCTCAAAATCAGCACATAAAATATGTTCATGATGTCTATATTTTCAGAGGGCACATTGTAACTTGTCGTGTACTATTTCACATTATATGAGTGTCGTGAATAAAAAAATATAGCTTTTAAAATAAAAATTTCCAAGATCATAAATTTGTTTTTGAATAATGAAAAAAGAGCCAATTTCCTCGGTGTTGTGAGTATGTATACTCATTCGTTCCTTGAAACTAATATGATGATAAGTATACTCATATTCCTCATAACATTACATTGATCTACTTTACTCTACTTAGTCCTTAAATAATTGAAAAATACATGCATTCTGTCCAAACTATGTAAGTCTTTGATTATTTATTTAAACCTGACACTTTTATGTTTTGCTGAAAAAGTAATTACTCGCATCTTTCCTCGTAACATTAGTTACTTTATTGTATCTTTTTTTTAATAGGTATACAAAAGGTTTCGTCGTTTTCTAAAAGTTTCACTCTTTAAAAGTTATACTATGGCGTTTTTCATTAACATTTTCAAACTGCTTGATAAAAACTGCTACTTTTATTTGAAAAATGTTTCATTATTATTATTATTATTATTATTATTATTATTATTATTATTATTATTATCATTATTATGATTATTACAATTCATACAAAAATTCTATTTTGATTATAAGTCAATTTATAAGCGATATTGATAGCTTCATTACTTATGATAGTTTATAATTTATTAAAATCAATTGTAAAGCAGCTAATTATTTTAATTAATTATTTTAGTCATCTAATTTATAACTTTTTTGTAAAATTCTGAACTGAATTTATATTTGCATGATTAGTATTGTACTCGAGCCACGTAATAATGAATGTTATTTGCAGCATTTTCAATTTTCAACTAATTTTGTATTGTAGTGAAGGTTGCATAAAATTTATTCCAATTATTTTCAAAACTTGTGTCGAAAACTCATTAGTAAATGTGGCAGTAACCTGCTACCACTTGCAGTACATAGCAATATCATTAAAAAATGAGATTTTTATATATAAAGATTGTTTTTTCTTAGAAAACAAGGATCATAATTTCAATAAACATTACTTTTTTAATGAACTAATTTTTTATCTATTATTGTATGCTTATCATGCTCAAACAGGAAGAAATCATTTACTTTAATACAGATGTTATGTACACCTGAAATTTTATCGATTAATAAATAAATAGTTCATCTCACAGTTAAGTGATTCACAATATTTAATTTAATATTTAAATAATCATAAAACTGTCATAATCAATAATTATTATTTCCAACTACTGCATTTTAACTAAAATTTGATTAAATCTCTTTTTAAAAAAGCATGCAATAACTGTATAATCAACTTATTCATACTCCGTAGAGATGTCTAGTTTCCAAAATCTCACAAACGCACTTTTAGATCTTCCATACGTTGCTTTATTCTTCGGTATATTTCTTTATATCTAAAAATTAAAAATACAGATAAAAATTATTTGAAAAGAAACTTAATTAACTTTTATGTCTTACTTTTCTTTTGCCAAGAAAATCTGTCGTTCTTCTTCAAAACGATAATGTTGAAGAATATTATTGCACTCTGGTAATGAAAGATTCAAAAATTGTGCAACATCAGAACTAATTTCAGGCGTCGAAAGCTTATCAACTAGAAATAGGCGAGCAATGTTTTCATGAGGTCCTAAGCCTACTCTTACTTCAAGGGGATATTCATCTTCTCGTAATCGCCGTTGTTCTATGAAACAATAGTATGATTTATAATGATCAATAATTCGTCATTGTAACAATAAAAAAATTTTTTACCTCCATTATCACGAATTACAAAGAGTGCAAAATTATCAGATTTGGCATCAACTTTGTATTTATCGAGCATTAAATTGATAACTTCTTGAGTACTAACAAGACTTGTTACCCAGACTGACATTTGAGATCCATGAGGGGGCGTAAAAAAACTGGTTTCTCGATTGTAAAAATGTCCATTAATCGAACAGCGTCTTCGAAGTCGATTTCGTGATTGTCTTTTAGCACCCGGTCGACGTCTAATTGCCGTAGAACCTTGCTTGCGTCGTAGGACTACACCATCCAACTGAAAATATAAAAATCATTTTTGAAATAATGTTTTACATTAAAAAAAAAAAATAGGTTTTAGTACCTCTAATCCACTATCAGTTGACATCGTCATATTATCATCATCACGAAAATGAATTGAGCTTACAGAATCATTATCACTGTCGGCTCGATGTCTTTGTAAACAATCTGGTCCAGACAATGAACGATTTAAACCTTTTTCTATCCAGCTATCCTCGTCAGTCACAGAATGACAACTAACAACATTAGTATCCAAGCTATCAAAATATTCTACTCTGCGTAAACCACCATTTTTTGTTGGTGTTCCATTATAGTTTGGAGTATCTGTATTGGATGAACTGCTTATGCTATGAGTGGGAGTACTGCTAACACTACTATCATCTTTGCTTTTGCTATTGCTTGTTTCTGTATTTGGACTATTTGGTTCTGATGTATCTGATGAGACTGATGGTACGTCAACAGTTGCATGTGTTTTCAGTGAAGGCAGACTTTTTGGTAAAGTTTGATACATTTTTTTAAAATCAGAACTGTCATTACAATCATTTTCATCACCTTCATTTTTCATCATTTCCCATTTCATTTTTTTAATGTCAAATTTTAATGGCAATGTAAGACTTTTTATGTGATCTGGAGAAGCTGGAACTGAATTGACTTCATTTTCTAGATGATTATCAGAAGGAGATAAATTTTTTGATTCTATATTTTCAACTTTTTTTTTGTGTTCTACTTTTTCCACATGACTTCTTCGATATGAATTTTTATGTCTAGCAGTGACCACGGTTCTTTGATCATCATCTTCTTTTAGATGTATCACACCTCGAACACCCCAATAAATTCTCAGAGCTCCTTCCAATATCAATCGTCCATTTACTTCCCTACTTCGAATACCTCCACTTTTGCCTTCATAATACTGATTAAAGAGCTTTAGCTTTGATTCTAAATGTGATCTATAAAGGTTTCATTATATTGTCAGGGTTAAGAATAAAATAATTGTAAAAAATAGTAAATATTTATCCTAAGATATACTATAAAATTCTTTAGAAAATATAATCAATTACCTTGGTAATGAAGATCGAGACTCTTTTTTACCAAAACTGGTGTGAGATTCAACTCTAGTGCCATGACCAAACAACTGAGGACCAAAAAGAGCTCCATAGCATGGAACATGACAATACGGTACTCCTTTGTGCTATGAGAAAATATATTTTAAAAGAATCATCCCATAAAAATTGAATTATATTGTTAGTACAAGTTTTAAATCTTAACCTCAGCATGTTGTCCAGGATTTAAACGCTTTCCACATTCTTCACAGCGTAAACACTCAGGATGCCAATCATATCCTAATGATTGTTTCCTTTCAGCTATTAAAATGGAAAAAGGTTTTAAATAAAATCATTAAAGTACTTTTTTAAATTAATGCTTTAACTAAGTAATAAACAAAGCTACTAATAATAAAAATATTCAAATAAACATTAAATGGAAAAAAGAATGATTGTTGTAAATCGCGAAAAATATTCCCCAACTAATTGTTTAACGAACCAAAGTAAACGGGCTTGCCACACTTATGACACTTCCACATGGCCAAATTTTTTCAGAAACTTTAATACTGATTCTTATAACTTAAATCCTTTGGAGAATTGCGAGAACACCATTTTTCAAGTCAATAGAAGGTTTGCAAAATTTTTTGCGAAGTTGCAAAGCACCTTTTGAACATGTACACTTTTTAGATATTTTTTAGAATAAAGAGCACTTAGTCTTATAGATAATAAACTAAACTAGGAGTTCATTAGCTTTCAATATTATGGTCATCGTACGATACTATACAATCAGTGATGAAGTTTACAAGATGATCAAATCGGCATAAGATTTTATTTTCGCATAAAATAAACCTCACCTCGCATGCGTCACTGTAATCGCGCGCTAAATTGAATTACGTTTAATACTTTTGTAATGACTAATTTCTATATGATTTTATTCCATGATCTGACTATAATGACGTCCTGTGTAACACAATGAGGGATTTTTTATTTTGCCGCTAAATTTTATATCAAGAAAATAATACTTTTATCCTTATTTGAACTTGAGTAGGGTGTACTCACATAGATCTTGATTCTTGTGTCGCGAAAAAATAAAAATTTTAGGATAAGCGTGTTGAGCGGCCGGAGCTGATTAATTTGAGCACTTACATTTTTTTACGGTAAAATTCTGCTATACGCACAACTTTTTACACGCAGAGGTTCCAAAATTAGTAGTCTTCAATACCTGTGAATATTTTCCTGATGCTGCGCAAAGCACTTAGTATGAAAAATACTTAGAATGCTTGATTTTCGACTTCGGTTTCGCCTCAAACTTATTACACATGCTTTAGGACTTATCGTTATTTTGTGGCCAAGGGAAGTAATATTCTATGATTTTAAAATTAAATCATGTCTAGAATTTAATGAAAAAAATAAGAAGAGTGTGTTACTATTTTATTATTAAAAAATTTATTTTTATTTAGAAACAGAAGCCATCAATCTATTCCCTTCTTATTGAGTTGAAACTTCATTATCACAGTTAACTTATAATTAAGGTAGATATGATAAACTTAAAAATTTATTTAAAAATGTTTAAAAAATGTAATATCAAGTTTTTCAAATTTCCGTTTGTTCTTAATGTATCGATAAATTTTTCATATTTATACTTGATGATATAACATTTTGTTACAATTAAAATTTGAGTTTTTAACTTGTTTGAAAAAAAATGTTATTTTTGTAACTACCCTGTAGCAAGATACAAACTTTTGATCGTTTACAAAGTTAATTATGACTACGAATTTAGAGTTTCAATAATAAAAAAAATTATAAATATATATATGAAAAAAAGTCTACATGAAATTTTATAGAAATATTTTAGGATTTAATTCCCTCTTTTATAATTTAAAATTGAATTTTGAAATATTTATAAATTACTTATTGACGCATTAACAAAAATAAAAAAAAGTAAGTGTATGATTTTAATAATAACATTTCAATTTGAAAAGAAAAATGTCTCCAAATTTTAAGTTGAAGTTTGTTTCATTGTTGGTTCACTATTGTGAGTTTCAGTTGAAGATTTGGATGAAGCTGCAGCAGAATCAGATAGGTGGCCCTTTTTTATACAAAGTTCAGTAGCCTGTTGAAAAACATTGACATAGATATAATAGTTGAATTTAAATGAGCCAATGTAAATCTTTGTCTTTTAGAAAATTTACCTTGCATTCTTCAGCAGTCTTATCATCAACGCACCAATAAGAAATTCCCCAAGTACAAGGTTTCGTTCCAAGATTTTTATCATTAGTTTGTCGCTTTGCTCTGCTGCTAATACTTAGTTTAACTAAAAAATCATATGACGAGCATAATGATAAGTTACTGCAGATTTTTTGTGTATTTCCATGAGTTTTTATTGCATCAATGATTGTTTGATCGTAATTCTTCATGAACATCATGCACTATAAATTCAAAATTTATTACATTATTTCAAAAGTTTAATGGGGTTCAGCAAGTATTTTTCACTCACTTTATCTTGTTCTGAAGTTGGAAGATACTTGCAAACTGAGGTCACGATTTTGTGAATATTTTCGTTCGCCTTTGAATTAACTAATAGTTTTTCAATATTTGCGATTATGCTTTGACACAAAGCACATTCTGAAACAGATTCTAAAGGAATATTTAATTATTTGAACGTTCATTTTTAACACCAATTGCAAAATTTTCTACCATGCACAGCTCCGGATTATTCCGTTAGTTATTCCAGAAGATCAAATTGTTAAACCTAAGGATGCAAGGTTACTACAAGTGTTAAAATAAAAAACGATGTTATCGAAAAATATTTTATTAAATACTCTGATCCTTAACTTAATATTAATATTAATAAGCATTCCAATCGTATAACTACTAGTTTAAACCATTACTACATAAGGAGAGTTCATGCGAGCCATTTCTCTTAATTCACCATTACTGTAAATCTTAGATTCAGTTTTACCTTTTAATTTTGTTGTATCGGATTTGCACAGATCAATAATCGTACAAATTTCTTTAGGGCTAACTTCTTGAGTTAAAAGTTCAATAACCACTTCAGCATATTCGGTGACGAAGGTATTGCACTTTTCCGACATGTGTCTTGGAAGATGATTACATACACCATGGAACATTTGTTCAATTTCATCTTTCGATTTTTTGGAATTCATAGCTTTTTCAAGATATTGCATAACAAATTCACAAACTACACATTCTGTATTTGAAGAAACTTCAGGTTCATCTGGTACACTTACTACATACGTGGGTCCCATGGGAATTTCATTTGACACTGCGATAAAAATTGAAAATGTTATTACAACAGTTAAATTAAGCTTAACAATCGATTTTTAACTTACTTATTTCACCGTTCTGATCAATTGGGATGAAACTGATTAAAGTCTCTTCCTCTTTATTATCATCACATAATTTAAGATAAACACAAACTTCTTGAGGCGTCAAATCTGCTAAAATCATTTCAATGATTTGTTTACTATAAGTTTTCACCATAGATTCACATTGGTCAATCAAACTATTAGGTAAATGAACACATAATTTGTCCAAAGCAGATTCTATAGATTCCTATTTGAAAAATATATTTATGTTATATATACTTTTAAAAATTATTTTAAAAATAAATATATAAGATTCTTTTACCTCGGTTTTGTTATCTTTAATAACGTTGTACAGCTGTGTAACGCCAAAAAGACAAAGAGGACAGTTTGGTTTATCTTCTTTTGGATGTTCGATAACATGTTCTTTAGGTATCTGTTTCCATGACTCCAATAATTGTTGAGATGGACATAAATGAATCATTGGACAAACCTGTAAAATGATAAAATAAGAGTAACAATTATTTAAAAAAAAAATAAAAGGTAGATTTAAGCTAAATAACCTCAGCTGGATCAATTTCTTGAGCAAGAATAGCTACTAGCGCGTCGCCATAGGTATCCACAAATTGGTTGCATTCACTTTGAATAGAATTTGGTAATTTCTTGCATACGCGACCAACAACATTTTTTATATCATCCTTTAGAAATGTTTTACAAAAATAGAATAAATATTCAAATTATTTATTATCAAGTAAGAATGTATCACGTTGGAAATACAACTTACCTCAGCTTTTGGATCAGTAACAGCTTCTTGAATATAATGCAGCACATATTCACACAATGCACACATTTGTTTTCCTTCCAAGTCGTTCTTTGGGACTGCAATAACTCTTTCACCAAATGGTAATTTAGGTTTGATTACTACATTTGGTGGATCACATAATTTCAGTGAAGTGCAAACTTCTTGGGGTGACATATCACTGAGTAGTAGTTGAATTAACTCTTTGCTGTAAATTTTTACTAAATCAACGCATTGATTACTTAAACTTTTAGGTAGTTCATGACAAACTTTATCCAGAGCAGCTTCAATGCTTTCCTATAGTGAATAAAGTTTCATAAATCGTTCATTTTAAGTATTAATTAAGTATAATTTATGAATTAAATACCTCTGTTTTTTCATCTTTTATCATATCATATAACTTTGTGACTGCAAACAAACAAAGAGGACAACTAGGTTTGTCCTTAACTTGTGATTTTTCTGTTAATTTTTCAGGTATTTGTTTCCATGTTTCAATCATTTGACTGCTAGGACATACAGCAACAAGCGAACAAATCTGTAAAGAAAAGGAAAATTACATGAGCCTACATCATTCAATCTAAATTAATGTCACAATTTACCTCTGATAGACTTTTTTTCTCCCGAATGAGTTCAGCAATCGCTTCCTCATATTTAGTTAAAAAGTTATCTTCAGATCCACTTTTAATTGCAGGTAAATTTGTTTTTATTTCCTTTAGCACAACTCTCACCTCCTCCTAAATAAGAATTATTTATTAATGAAGTTATTAAACAAATTTATTTATCATACTTTAAATAATAAAAATGAGTTATTTACAGCATCTTGGAGATTTCTGACATTTTGTTTTATGAAATTCATGACAAACTCACAACTGGGACAGTATGTATCATCAATTACAGAAAAACTTAAGGGTACAGACATTCTTTCCAATGGTAACTGTAATTCTTCAGTCTCTCGTGTTTCAATATTTGATTGGGTATCCTTGAAAATCCTTGAAGCTATTCTGGCATTATTTTCTGGTAATAAAGGCCATAATGGTTGATTCTACAGAAATGTTTTGATTTCATTATTATATTAACAAAAAATAAATTAATTGAAATTAAAAAGTCTCTTACGGATTTTGCAGGAGCTGGACAGATTCCACCCATTTGACAAATTAAATTACCATTCAAACTTTTCGTCAGATATGAATAAATTACAGGATAGTATTCATCTACAATTGCCTTGCATTCAGATGAAAATGATTTTGTTTGTCCACAAAGTCCTTCAAGAACTTTCTCAAATTCAGCTTCAGTTGTATTAGCAACCAAAAGATCTCTCAAATGTACAACAAGTTGTTCACACAGTTTGCATGGTAAATCATCACCAATATCAACATTACCTACACTAGATAGAGGTCGAATCTCAACATCAGGAGTCTGTAATTTCAATTAAATTACTATTATTGAATTCTGAACTAACAATTTAAGAGCGATAAATGAAGCTATATCTGCGTTAGTTATTTATTGATCATTTTGCCTTTATACTTTGTGTAATTCAGCATCTTGCTCATAATGTAACATTACATCTGAACAAAATATTTTCAATAGTTTACGCATTATAAAATAAAAATGAATTTACCTTCTCAATGTCATCTCCATGGATGTGGAATTTGCCAGAACATTGACCAGAAAGATGGCAAACATTATTAGCATTCAAGTTTTTCTGAAGATGAGAAAAAATTGTCTCAAAATGAGTCAAAATAATTGATGAACAAGCATCAGAGAAAGAACTGAATTGTCCACAAATATTTAGTAGCCTGTCTAAAACTTCATCTCGCGAGGACTGGCCAAACTTGTGCTCCATATGATGTGCAATTGTATAACATTTTGTGCATTCATCTGGTGTATATTCATCATGACCAATAGGAATAAGTACATCATTGGGCTATAAAAAACAATAAATTAATCTAACATAAACAATTACTTCAACTAAATGTCGCAAAATTAAAATAAATAAATTTCTCAGAACTTCAAGTCAAAGGAGTGAAACAATTAGTGACTCATGAATAGAAATTTGAAAGATTTATCATAAAAAAATGTCAGGCATTATTGATACAGCAAAGATAGCAACAGTTTTTCCTAATAATCTTTGAACAAAAAAATTGAAATAATATGAAAATTATTTGTATCATTAATCTAAATTTTTTCAAAATGAAAAAAAATGATTTATACCTTAAGGGGGGACTCCTTTTTATATGATTCTAAAAGTTTATCGATATGAGCAGAATTGCAAAGTCCAGCAACAGAGCAAACCACTGAAGGATTCATTTGAGATGCCAGAGTTTCTACTAATTCTGGAATAAACTGATCCACCAATTTATCACATTCTTTGACAATTGGTTGAATATATATTAAGGCACAACTTCCTTCAAATACAGCTTTCAAATCTTCTTGAGTTTGATTACTTTCTAATTGATCACGTGCCTGTTGTACCATGTCTTTACAAATTGTGCAGACACTATCTTGATCATCTGGAACTTGCATTTTTTCCCAAACATTGGGTATACAGTGTTTTGTAGCCTTGCATCCAGCTGCAGTTCTATAAAATTTATTTTACATTTTTTATTAATAAATTTTAATAAATAAAATTCAATATTGGAGTAGCAATTATAACAAGTTCTTACGTTAGGTTTTGGCACCAATATGATGGTCCCCATGTACAAGCTTTGGATCCTAGTAAATGTGGTGTATCTTGACCATCAATATTGATTAATACCCTAGCAGTAGTTACTGAAAAAATGAAATTAAGTATCATGTTAACATGTTGGTCAGAAGTAAAAAAGTAAAAGATTACTATTTTAAAACACTTGATCATAGATAAATACATTTTCATAAGTTTATAGTTTGCTAAGAAAAAGAATCTGAGGATATCAATCTTAATTGACAGGTGAAGAATGTCAAAACTATTAGTAATAAATAGATTATTACTCATCAGGGAATTAATCATCAAGTGTTATTTTATTAAAAATTCATTTGCAATAAAAATTTTTATCAAAATTTACACTTTTAAAATTTTAAAATCAATTCTAAAAAATTACCTATAACTGATTATGTTTATGGAATTTATTCATGTATATTACTCAAGTAATTGTTAAATTGTCTTTCTATGCTTGAGCAGGAAGTTGTGAAAAAATTGTTTGGCTGTTTAATATAACATAAGCTTGAGTCACTAAAAATGTTGATGTATCATTCTGGATTGATACAACTATCTTTTGTATGACTAATTGACCATACATAGCAATACAGACTCTAATCTATTACTTTTTTATTCAACAAAAAGGATAAAGAGAGCCCACATGTACGCTGCTTAAAGCTAATTTACCGCGAATCTCAGTACTGGTTAAAAACATTAAAGGTACTTTGAAAATGTAAGAGTATCAAACGCCAACATTACGCATTATTTCATCAGTTTTTCGCGATGTAAATGTAGATGAAGAATACCTATACACACACATATATATGCGTGCAATTAGTCACACTTTTCGCAGTTGCAGGTATATATTTTCGATGATATTCTGACATAGCGAATTTAATTCGATTGCAATTCATGTAGCGTTAAAATAATTAAAAGATTTTAAAGGTTTAGTTTTCAAACTAAGAAGCTCGAATAAGTGGACTACAGTTTTGACTATGCAACATTCGAGTAAAAAATTTGCCTCATGTAAGCGTGGCAATAAGAACAAAAATAAATTCAATTTTAAAAATTTTCAAGTTCATTATTTGTTTAGCCTCGAGGTGTCTATGTTTAACAAATTGTACGTATGACACGTATTTGTTTGAAAAATTGTCCAAATTTCGTCGACAGTGTTGGCTAATGTATGCTGCAGAAGCAAAAAAATAACGAGTCATCCGTCATAACACGCAGATATTTAGCGAGTTATTTCTTTGGCCTTCTTGGCGGTTGAAATGAAAACAAAAGCAAAACAAAGACGCGTATGTACAACAAGCTAGTGCAAGTTAATCGATACGTTTTTTTTTAACTATATATAAATACAAAACCTCCCTGAAATGTCGAAGAAACGCATCAATGACAATAACAAAAAGTGTTAATTAGCAAGTGCAAGTCTCAATTTATATAGCGTCGATTCATTTTAACAAAGAGACTTTTATCACTCGAGATAAAGAACACTCATGTGGGTGTAATGCGAGAGTTTGTGTACTTTCATTTATCATAATACAGGCCCGAACTCGGCACGGCCTCAAAAGTAATAACAACGCGCTGCGTGATAGGCAGAAATGCGAGTAAGAAAACGGGGATAAGATCATGCGAGACTCAATAAACTCTAAAGGATATCGACTCACCAGCTAGAAGAGCGCTGATAAAAATAAATAAGGTCCCCTTCATGGCGGTGAACGTGTGCGAACGTTAACGTTCGGGTTGTTCCTCGCAACTTTTCCAATGTCCTATACCTACGCAGTTATTAGATCACTCGGATATTAAACCAAAACACTGCGTTAGTAAAGTGAAAAGGAGAGAACGTCAGTAGCCCCCTCAGACCGTCGTTGACTTGTCGGAATTGAGCAGTAAGGAAACGAACGTCCGAAGACTTTTGAAAATTGAAATGAAGCGTTATTCGGCTGAGCCGAGAACAAGCGTGCGTGTGCGTAGCGACACTACAAATGATCCAGCTTCGTCTCTTGCTTTTTATGCGTCGTCAGTTATTAGAGTTGTAGTACTGGAATGACTGATCGTTGTGAGTAGCGCTACAGTCGCTGTTGTTCCACAGCTGCTTGCAACTCGGCTGCTGCATAACGTGACTCTGAAGGCTTTTTTTACAATTGCAATTCCAATCGAGTTTGCGTTAAACATTAAGAGTAACCAAGTGACAAGTGTACACCTCGCTACGCTTTCTATGCCAAATAGTGCCAAGTATGTATGAAATACATACATACAGGCTATGCAGCTTAACCCATGAACGATCGAAATGCTTGATTTTTTGTTGGTTTTCGCAGCGATTTTTTTGTAGTTTTGGGACTTAAAAAAATTTTGCACGGACCTATTTCCATGTAAAATTTAATGCCTTTTCAGAAACTGAGCTCAAAATATTAATTTTATGCGTAATAAAAAAGTTATAGCTACTGTCACGGGGAACCGTGACACTTAAAAATCTTTGCAAAAAAATCGAGTTTTCGATTTTTTTTGCCATGTTAAGGAATCACGATATATAAATATGATCAGGGGCGATCACGACTATCAAAGTATCTCAGGGAATTTTTATGGAATTTTTGAACCACTTATCAAACTTTTGTTTTGTGCACTGTTTCTCTAAACTCAATAATTTTAGAGTAAAAATGAGTTATGTTTTATATATTATTAGCTATTTTTGGTTTGAAGTAGCGGTTCGAAAATTCCATAAAAATTCACCGAGATACTTTGATAGTCATGATCACCCCTGATTATATATTATATTACACATCGAAAAAAAAATCGAAAACTTGATTTTTTGCAAAAAGTTTTACGTTTTTTTTTAGCTATAACTAGTATAGCTATAACTGTAGTTATAACTTTTTTATTATGCAAAAAATAAAAATTTTGAGCTCAATTTATGAAAGGGCAGTAAATGCATTATTATTGGCCACAGTTTATAAGTCTCTTTCATAAAAAAATTTTAATTAAAGTTTTTTTTCAGGATTCAAAATCGTGTTTTTTCGCAGTAAATTGTTACAACTTTTTTAATATTTATCAGAAGTTAATTATTAACTGATATTCAAAAAGTACATTCAATTTTACATAGAAAATGGGTACTCAAGAACTGTTTTCGCTCCGATAAGATTATTTATTTGCAGACTACAAAAGAGAAAAAAATTCTGTCCTTTTGGGCGTGAACGGGTTAAACGAAGCATTTTGTGTACTTTAAACGATATCTTCAAAACTTTAATAAGAATTGATTTCGATAGCGTATATTTGATTTGGATAAATAAATGACTATAGTTCAGGTGAACGTTTGAACAATCGATTTTTTTCAGTAATTTAAGGGGCTACGTTCAAGTGCGACTGTCAAATTGAATTTTACTAAAACCAATTAAAAATATAGCTTGAAACTTGAAAAAAATTCTAAGAAAACCAAGGAAAAATCGTCTCAATGCGATCAAAATTGAAGGAGCTATAAGCAATTGATAATGGACAAAATTTCAATGAAAATTGAAGTTGCGGAATGTTTGTTAAAAAACATGTTTTTTAGGGTGAACATTTTTTTGTAATTCAATTTTCACATTTATGGCACGCTTTTCTGTGGTGTAAGTCGCACATTCTGGCACCGCTACGTTCGCATCACACTCGCATACGCTAGTGCGCTCCCAGAAAGTGCGATTCATGGCTCGGAAAAGGGGGCATAAATGTGAACTTAACACAGTGCTATAAAATGTTGTACGATACTCGTGCCATGGGGACACTTTTCGGCCCAGCTATTAGGACCCTCGCTGCGCTCGAGCCCTAAACTACGCCATACCAAAAAGTGTTACTTATGGCACTTGTATCGTAATTTACTATTATTATGTTGTTATAATGCATACAGATCGCACTCTCGAGGTCTATATACTTGAAAAAACCGCGATAATTTTAGTCTAAATAAATATTAACATATTCTGATTGATTAAGTCATATTTTCAAAACCGCTTAGTATTGTAGTTACTGGGCATTTCAGGTTTTTTTTCATAAAATCACTCTGCAACATAAAATTTTCAAGAAACATTTTGAGTACAATGCGCACAGTGACCTCAATCTATCAAAGTAAAAAAGTTCGTTACGTGTCCGGTAACTGATACATTCATCTTATATACGCGCTTGTACATGTCAAGGGAAATTTTTATACAATTACTCAAATCATGCATAGTTTTTATTTACCAGTGTAAGGAATTCAATATTTTATTTTTCAAAGTTTCGAGTAAAAATGTACGTAAAAAATATAACCCCTCGATCTTCTAGTGAGTCGATCTTCTTTTAATTCGGATGTGCAAACCGTTCTCAGCTCGAGTGACGAGTTCGGTCGTAATACTTAGATCCTCACGACGTTCCGCTGCTTCGACAACGTACGTCCTCAAAACGGCCGATATGATCGCTTTTTCTTCCAACATGGCAAATTTTTGCCCTATAAAAACAATAACTCATTAAAATAATGCCTCTGGCAAGCTCGGCATATCTGTTCGAGTTGGATGCCTTGTGACTCATTACCGATACAATTTCTCGGACCAGCGCTGAATGGAATGTATGCATAAGGATGTCGTTTAGCACAATTCATCGGAGAAAATCGTTCGGGATCAAAACTTTCGGGATTACTGAAAACTTCCGGATCTCGGTGTAATGCAGGGATTATGATTGTTGCAGTACTTCCTTTGGGCACTAAATATTTTCCTGTGGTGAAATTATCAATAAGTGCATCATTTTTAATATATATACTTATAAACGTGCAAAATTATTTTTTACCGATTTGTATGTCTTCTCCAACTCTTCGACCCAATAGCGGGACGCTTGGATAAAGACGCAAAGATTCTTTAATGCACATTTCTAAGTATCTCATATTTTTTAAATCTTGCATAGTTGGCCGTCTATGTTGATCACCCTCTGAGAATATCGTATTTAATTCATTCACTACTTTTTCCTTAAAATTATAAAAATGCCTTTTGAAACCGTTATATGTTGACCCAGAGAAATGTTTCAATATTTTCATTGTTCATACCTGGATATCTAAATGACAACCAAGTAAAAACAGCGTCCAACAAACTGAAGACGATGTTGTATCATGTCCCTTTTTATTAATAAAAACTTATTTACATTATGAATTTATTGTATAAGTCAACATTAACTATCTGTTGTTATTGATATATTCATTCTCGCCGCAGTTCATTAAAAAAAATTTTTTAAAAACTGTAAAGATTAATTTGCGAACCTCAAACATAAAAGTATCAACTTCTTCTCTTATATCATTGTCCGATAGGGTTGATCCATTTTCAGAAGCTATTATCAATAAATCCAAGAAGGCAAGCCTTTTTTTAACTGAAAGAAAGGAAACAAAAAAATTATTATAGAACTTCTTATCAGAACTTTAACTCGTACTTTCCGTTCGATTTCCCATTATTTCTGCGCGTCTTTCTGCAATAACCTACTCAACAAATTCAAAATCATTAATTTCAAAATTAATGTTGGAGTAAATGGCAATCGTACCTTTTTAGAAAAATTATGCAAAATTTCTAGGCATTTTTTTTGTTTTTTGTAAAGAGAAGACATTCTGAAAAAAACGTTTATAGAATGAAGATAACTTGTTTGTCTGGTCTGGATGATGTAACCCATCCTATTGTCAAAAAATTCAATTTTTGTATTAATTAATATTGGTATAAATACATGTGTTGGTGTATAAATTTATTAGATAAATAATTTCATTATGTTCATCGACTTACTCTAAAATGGCTTTTACATATTCACTATTAGAACGATTCTGTGCGGAAATTCGTCTTCCCATTGCTGTTTCTACAAAAAAAAGTAAAAATAATTAATGGTGAAAAATTAAGTTTTTGAAATTTATCTCACCACAAATTATGTCCAAAGTACATAGTGTAATGAGAGGAAATACATTGAAGGGCGGTTCGTCTATCCTTGAAACTAACTTTTTCACCAATATTTCCGTCTGTTCACCAAATACTTGCACGAAATCATCTAGAATATTGAAATGGAACGTTGGCGTCAAAATTTTTCTTCTCGAATGCCATTTTGGCCCTGAAAAAATTTATTGCAGCAATCTAATTAATCTAATTGAGTTTAAAACACTTTTATTCTTAAAACGATCTCACTTCAATATTATTTTCTGCATGTACTGTTTTTGCTTAAGTACAACATGGTAAAAACTGAAGATATGATCTCAAAATAATTTTCATTCGTGTAAGATTTTTACCAGAACTTGTTAATAGACCAGTTCCAAGCCAAGGTCGAAGGTATTGATAATCTGAACTTTTGTCAATGTGACGAGTTGTTCCCAAAATCAATTCCACTGTAGAGGCTTTACTGAGGAATACATAAGGCATTTGTCCAACCCAGGCTTTATTAATACCTTCTCGGCTTCCCCACATTAATCTCATACCCATCAATCGAGTAAAAAGCTCTGAAAAATTCAAATCATATTTAAAGACGTTAAAATTATACTTTCTAAAGTTTTCGTAATCTTATCTTCGAAAAACCAGTGTTAAAATTTTTTTCAAAAATTAAAAACATTTTATGGTGAGCCTTTTAAACTGGAATAATACACTCGGCAACAAAATTATCGCAACAAAAAATTTCATCAATATTTTGTCGATTTTCAAATGTTTCTATCTTGTGCTATATTTATCGTATCGACACGATTTTTTTTGTATTTCTTGGAAATTTTGTCCTCTTTAAATTCATATATACCATGATTAGATTCGAGTCAATTTCGAGTTACCAGTAGTATTTTAGCGCAATACTAAAAATTACTGAAAAAATTGATTGTTTGAACGTGTACCAGTATCACAGTAATTTTTTTATTGAAATCTAACATAAGCCATCACAAAGTACACTTTTCAGTAATTTAAAAAAAAATAGAGTTCTCTTTGATTTTTTAACGCCCTGTAGGTCGTTTTGAAGGTACGATTTGTGTATGCAAAATGCCCAGAAAATCGTGTTGATTTCAGCTAAACAAGGGATTTACGTACTGTAAATAGTACCTTCAAATCGATCTACAGGGCGTTAAAAAAATTGTAGAGAGCTCTTTTTTTTTAAGTAACTCGTTAAAAAGAGTACTATGCGGTGGTGTATATTAAATTTCAATAAAAAAATACTGTAGTCCATGGACACGTTTACACAATCAATTTTTTTCAGTAATTTTTAGTGTTGCGCTCAAATACTACTGGTAAATCGATATTGACTCGAATCTTATCATAGTATATATGGATTTAAAGAGGACAACATTTTCAAGAAATCAAAAAAAATTTCGTGTCGTTATTTGTATTTTTTTTACCATAATCAAACTATGATTTCTTATCCAATTTAACTCATTCTCTGTTAAAAAATGAAAAAAAATATTCAAAGTTCAAGTTTCTGTTTAACCTACGATAGATACGATATATCTTCAACGGTTTGAATATTCTTTGGCGATCTATGGCTTATCACTGAATCTGTTAGGTGGCGCCTTCTATTTCATTACGTATAATAATGTAAAACAGTCTCCAATAATGGTTACATAATATTTCGTAAACAAACACCTATTTTTCTTTAGTTTTTAAATTTACATGTATAATAAATTACTGATTTAAATAGCTCTATGAGTAAAACAAACGAATTATCAAAATTATTTTTACAAAATATGTTGAAATTTTCTCATGTGTTGGAAAGTAACTGAAACTCGAACTTGAGATTTATACTAAGAATATTTTCTGAACAATTTTTTCGAAAACGAATTTAAAATTTCTTTCCCAGTTTCAAATTCCTCGTAATTATAATTTTCTTTCGAAAAAGCAACACACTTTGCTTATTTTGAATACCTACTTTTTGCCAGCACCACCTACTATATCGTGTTTCCGTGGTGTAGTGGTTATCACATCCGCCTAACACGCGGAAGGTCCCCGGTTCGATCCCGGGCGGAAACATATTTTTTTGAAAATGTAGGTGGGATTTATTTATTTTTTGAAATTCTTAGTTTTACCAACTATCTTCTTTAGTTTTACTTACTATTATGAAATCAATGCATAGATAATAATTTAATCGAAACCAAAAAATAACTTTCAAGTCCTTTTCAGACACAAAAAAAACATTCAAATTTGTTGCTATAGATATATAATACTATAGATATATAGATATAGAATACTAATATAGAACGATACTATAGAATACAGATGCAGAGTAATTCATAAGGTATCTGTAAGCAATATAATGTTTGCTATTGAATTTATTTTGTACTTTTTTTAATATAACTGTATTCAAAAATCGATAGTGCATAGATCAAGATATATATAAAAGAACATTTTGAATATAAAGACAAATTCTATACCTGCATGATCAGAACTCAATTGTATGAGATTGCCTACCAGTGGCATTGAAAGTGGTCCTGGAATCTTTCCGAGATATTTCAAAAAACGTCTTTTTTTGCACCACCACTTTTGTAGAATTCTACTTAACAGAACTCCAAATATTAACATAAGAACAATTTTCAATTTGTAGATTTCAGATTCCCAGTGTGTACATGTTAGGCAAATGGGTATTTTATTACAATGTTCCCGAAAAATACATTTAGAATGCATAATTTTAAAAATTTACTTTATTGATTGGAAAAAATTCGTGTATTTCCATATACAAAATTAACAATACTGAAAAGTGCAGTATCGATTTTAGCTCATGGTATTTTTCTTGTTTAAGTTTACGCAATGAAGCGTACAACGAAAAAAGTGTCAATGCCACATTTATTCAACGAGTATATTTATACGTACGTGTCATTCGTAAAAGTGCATATGGTTTCTTTCGGGACATTTTCGACAATAAATATTTTATATGTCCTCATAAATGTACTCTCTAAAAATATGATCTATGAATAATAACGATAAATTAATCGAATTAGATTAATAATTGAAAAATTAACCCTATAAACATTTCAGTGAATCAATTTTAAAAATTTCGTTGCTAATTATTTCAGTTTGGAACTCAAAAAAATTTTGTTTGTCATTTACTATATTTTGATTACTTTAATGTATAGAGTATTTGTGAAAAATAAAAGTAAATAACCACTTCGGACATAAACATAGCCTCTAATAATTCCATCAATAAAATTTTGGTAGGCTTCATATCGCTGCAATATTCGTGTATGCACATACCTTCTGCAGGTACATATAGTTTTATAGCTATTTACGGTTACCAAAGCAACAAGACTCTGATAATGTTCTACTCAAGTATAATGAAACGCGTACATGGAATGTTTGTAAATGTAATCGAGTTTTTAAAGTTCTAATTGTTTGTATGAAGAATTTTAGATTCACTTGATACATTGCTATAGAAAATAATTTTCAAGGTAATCATATCTCGAATTTTGTGTAATCAAGACTTTAATCTGTCGATCAATACTGAGGTAGAAAAATTGAATACGGAGTTTCCAATTTCACGTGAGTAGTACACACGAATGGCCGAAAAAGCATAAGATCAAAGCTTCGTTCGCTATAGCTTTCTTTGATAGATAAAGCTGAAATGCCTCCTCGTATGTCACTGCCAATTTTCGTGTAATATGTCACGAGGAGCGGGCGTGAAATCACCATTGGTGCTGTGTAGTGCTTACCGTGCACGTGGGAAATTGTAATGATAATCTCGAGATAAGAATTAAGGCCCCATACAATAGGCATGTGTTTCATATCAGTAGTTCCTCTATTCAAATTTAATTATTTCAAACTTATTACGAAATTCATTACTGAACTGAATGTCACATACGTGTGTTTATCGAGCAAAATCGTTTTTAAAACAATTAATCAATGGCTGTATATACTTTACATTTCTTCAGTCATATAGTAATTTCTTATAAACAAACACTAGGCTACTGCTTAGCTTAGAAACTGAACTATAAAAAAAATGTACTCGACTATAAAAAAAAAGGTTCTTGATGAAATGATTGCAGTTAAAATAAATAGTCTATTGATATAAATGTTCATTTACTTTATTTCATGTAAAATCAAGTTTCAAGTACTATTTAATTCACATAATTATAATTTTTTTCTATTACATAATTCTAACTCACCTATAGAACCTATATATATGTATTAAATTGAGTAAAAAATATAACATCACTTATATTTACAATCATCTATCTTGCAAAATTAATTATAGATACATAAAATTAAATTTTTCCTAGATGTGAAATTACTTAAATCTATTTTTTTAAGTTACTATTTTGAGATTTATAAAAAAACCTTGAACGATTTAAAGATCATGTCATGTTTAAAAATTCGCATATTTTAGTGAACTTTCTTACACTAATAACTATCTACAAACTGAACTACATTTCGGAGAGAATCAATTAATAATCTCCCGTCAGCTGATCTTGAATTTCTTTGAGGCTTTTGGCTTTTGTCTCTGGTAAAAATATTAAAACGTATGGAATAATCAGCAATGCACATATACCATGAGCGCCATAAACATAAACTGGCCCGATAATGTCCATCAACGGTGTGAACGATTTCGTTGCCATAAAAGACCAAAATGCTCCAACCAAGCTGGCAAAACATCCTGCCATGCTTTTGACATCCGAAGGGAAAATTTCACTCAAAACTGTACTCGGTACACACATGAGGCCGACGAAAAAGGCGTTGATGTACAAAAATATTGAAATCACAGGAAGCCATTGCAGATTATTATTCACGTTATAATTATTCTCTATGAGATATGAGTTGGTAGTTAGACAAGCCATGGCCATCGCGACTCCACAACTTGACAAAATTAACAAAAATCGTCTTCCAAATCGATCAATTAAGATGCACGATGCTATTCCCGTGAAAAAGCTCGTAATATTTACATAGATCACCATACTGGCAGGGTCGGATATTCCGCTTTTTCTTAAAATTTCTTGCATGAAAAAGATGATGGTGTTGAGACCAGCCAATTGCATAAAAGTAAATAAAGCAAAGATATGAATCAAGGCTTGTTTCACAGCTGGAGATTTTAATTTTTCTATTTTTTCTCTGAATGTCAGAGATTTATCATTGGCCACTAGGTTTTTCACAATGGTCACTTCTCGGGTAGGGTCTTGACCTGGTTGATACCAAGCAATCGCTTCTTCGGCTTCTTCATCTTTACCTTTTTTAGCCAATGCAAATGGCGAGTCAGGCAACCAAGCAAGCAACACAATCGCGATAGCGCATGGTATAAGAAAGCATGCCGCAGTTAAATGCATTGGATAGTATCTCCCACAAACGCTGCTTATCTAATTGGTAAAAAATAAAAAGATCCATGAAAATATTTACTTTTGAGCCATATTATTCACTTATTCACCGGAAATAAATTTAGTACACATTTTAATTATTAAAAGAACTGATTATTGCAAATATTGTAAATTTCACTTTACGTTAAATTATTTTGAAACATATACTTTTATTCAAACGACATGAATAATTGTTAATCAACAAGTTGCCAAAAAAAAAATTTATGAAATTGGATAAAAAGCACTTACCACAGCACCGATCGAACTACCGCCAGACATAGCGATAGAAATCAAACCACCTCTGATTTCTGGCAAAGCCACTTCTCCAACGTACAGAGCCATACAGCTATAAGTTAATCCTAAACCATATCCACCGATTGCCCTTGCTGCGTACAACCAGATGTAAGAATCAGCGAAAATTGTCAGTATCCAACATCCGGCAGTTGGTAAAATTGACAGCGTAAGGCAATTTTTGCTGCCCAAAAAGTTAATGAGTATTGCCCCACTTAAAGCTCCGAGAAAGCGGCCTGCATTTAATAAAGATGCTACCCATGATTTTTGTTCGTCGGTCAAATAAAAGGGTTCAGCATTGATACCAGTTAAGCGCTCGAGGTAAGGCGATGACCATCCGACCATTATGCCCAATTCAAGCATAATTAAGGAAACTGGAGATCGAAAAGATCAAAAATTAAATGAACACAGTATGAAGTTGAGTGAAACATGATAGATTATCGTTTTAACTTACTACCCAAGCCGGTAAGGTACTGCGGGTACAATTGAACCCTGCTGAGGTTCGATCTTTTTTCCGACTCCATTTTTCTTGTTTTTCCTCAAAATAATTTTATTCACTACAAATGAACATTCAAACTATTAATTTTTTAATTATCTCCTTCTCGAACAGTTCTTTAACGTTTCACTTGAACAATAAAATGTTATTAGCACAAAAACTTATCTGAGTATGAACACCATAAATGCCGAGTCACAAATGAAAATCAATTCTATCGAGAGATTACTTTATAAATAGTCGCTTTTATGAAAAATAATATAGCTTTGTATACACACAGAACTTATCTTGAGAAACAGGAATATTTACTCACGAGGGCTTGAATTTTACAGCGATATTTAATTAATCGGATTTTGAATAGAGACTCGTTCTACTGAATGATGTTTCGCAATGTATCAGAAAACTAGTATTAAATTACAAATTCGTTTTTATCTAATATTGAAAAATAACATGTGAATGATTCCGCAGCTGAAAACTTTTAATCGCTTGCTTTCGTACTATGTACAGTAGCTCTGCTTATTATCTATTGATAAATCAACATTTGCCTTTTGTGCGCCGACGAATAATTTTTTTTTGGAAATTGCGCTTCATCGGAAGCTTATTTTTGACTTGACAGCAGTTTCAAAGTGATTTAATACTGAACGATGAAATTGAATTAATTAAACACGCATAAATGAGCATTTATAAGTGCGATTAATGTGACATTAGAAAAATATTAAAGTAAATCTTAACCTTATTATATAATTAATGAGGGTATTTTTTCATGAACAAAATATTTTATAATACAGAGAATCAACGTTTGATCACTTGTCGTTTGCATGCTATAATTACTAATTGGACTCAGTGCTTGCATCGAACCTAATTATGATAAGAGTTAAGGAATCGATTTTTACTACTTACTTCAATATTCACTAATATTTAATATATTATACATGATGATACTCAAAAAATATCAAATAGCGACGTACATTAGAAAATTATTACTTACAGACGCGCGCGTCGATTAATATATAATTATTATCCAGTTTTTATTCATAATCATGTCTGCTAGAGTCTTGTAAATATTTTGTCGAAAAGATATACGTAATAATTATACGATGTTTACTTAGTTTTTACACCTATCACCGAGCTGAATCACCTATACTGTTCATTCAAGTTTCTTATTTAGTAACAAAACTAAATACTAAAGATTATAGACAACAAATTTTTCAAAATGCTTCTATTGTAAAAACTTACAAATGAAAAAATTGTAGTTAACTTTATGTCCGAACAATGCTGAGTTCATAAGTCGACTGATCTAAACTAGAAAAATCGGTATTCGTCCAAAAATGAATCGGTGATCAATTAAAAAGCTATTATGTTGAAAGTACTATTTGCATTTTATCGTCTTAGTGAACAGTTTCCAAGAAATATAAAACGATTTTCAGATAAAGAACGAAACATATTACTATTTTTATAATAGCTGTTCATGAGACATGAATTTTTATGCTTTTCGAATTACTTATACTTTCAAATATCCCTTCCTCAAATCTAGTGTGCTAATTCAAATTTTAAGTCATTCAAAGCTAGGATTGAAAGTATTTGCGCGACTCTCAATGACAGTTTAAACTTTAAATGCATTTTTCTCGAAACCATGTTTTTTCGACAGCACATGTCTCAAAAACTACGGTGGATTCTCTATTCTCTTTTTTATTTTAAAGGGGATAAAATGTACAGTAGCTTAAACTAAAAAAGGCTATTGTTATTATTTTTATATTACTATTTGTCACTAGTTTTAGGCTTTTGTGCTATAAAATATTGTATGAAACTTGTGTAAATAAGCTTTACATTAAAACTCGTTTTTAGAAAAAGCATATTCCCACACGTTGGATAATTTACTATTTTAAAGAACCCCATTTTTAAAATTTTCAACTTTTCACCCTGAAAATAGTTCAAGCTCTAGAAATCTGGTCTATTTTATAAATAAATTTGATTTTTTGCTTCTAACAAAAATTGAATGCACTAGAAGGCTGCCCGATGGTGTATGTACCTTTATTTTCAATAACTATCTTTTTATTGACATTCAACCAAGAAACTATAACCAATAACTATATTTAGGTATTTAGAACTCTAACCTAAAAATCGCAACTTTGCCGCTAGTTTTAGGCTCTTGTGTTATAAAATATTGTATGCAACTTATGTGAATAAGCAATTCCAGCAAAACTCGTTACATCACTCGCCTTCGTCTCGTGCTGCGATTACCTCATTTTGCAGAAAAAGCACATCGGCACCCTCTGCATAATACACTATCATGACACAAGTGACATAAGACACATTAAGGCGTTTAAACCACGTATGTACCAAAAAAAGTGTACCATAAATAGTTATTTATGCAACAAGTGCCCAAAAGGCGCTTTTGGGTACGAGTGTGCGGAAAAAGACACGAGTGTCGGCCATGTCGGCACGACATAAATTTTCCTCCCTGAATGTTTTTGCAATGTGGAACGCCACAACAATTAACATTTTTTTTCTTTGACATCGTATTTGTTTACTCAATCTTGTGTATTTATACAAAATTAAACAGGATACGAGGTATACAAGGGTCACCCTGAGCCCCAGGTATATCGTGGTACATTTTCGTTGTGATATTCGTTTTCAGCGACCCCAGGAACCCCCGAGTGCAGAAATTAGACTCATTTTTACCTTTATTTAATGAATATTTAGCGAAATACACATATTGACAAAACTGCGAGTTCAAGATGCATTTCTAAAAAACGTTTATTTCATCCACGGATGCAAATTTTCATTTGTTCCTCATAAATTTTGTTCACAAAGTTTCTAGACGCTCTCCCCAATCGAATGCCGAAAACCGCATCTCAATCCGACTTACTGTTCAAAAATCGGAGGTTGAATGCTTTATTTCCTCGACTAATAAAAATAAATTGTGCACCAAGTATCTTAATAATTGAAGAAACATATTTTTATCATAATGAAAAAAATATTAAGCTAAATACATACTTCAGGGTAATAATTAAATTATAAAAAAATTTTAAAATAATATAATACTAATGGTAGCTTGGGGGTTTTAAGAGCGATAGTAAAAGCTACTTTTTTGCGTGTGGTTTGTGAGGCCATATGTCGATCGCAAGTCTCTTGTGTGCAATGTAAAGATCATCTCTTGTCAAGGGACTGCTCATTTGTCAACAAACAATATATTAGCCCATACTGCACCCATTGTACGCTAGTAGCGTGTTTGTGCCCCCCCCCCCCCCCNCCCCCCCCCCCCCCCCCCGCGTACGTACCTTATGGAATAAGTTATAATCTATCCAAGAACCCAACGAAAAATTTCATCGAAGAGGTCGAATTACCTAAAATATGTATTTAACTTAGAAAATCGCAGTGCAGTGATCTACCGTCATCTTGGAAAATTATCTAAATTATTAGATCATGTTGATTCATTCAAGAATGTTTTTTTCGTCGAAAACATTCTTATAATAAACATTTTCTTCGTCGTTGGGGCATAATAAGTAATGAAAAAATTCGGTCACTCATTTCAAGGTATACTTTTTTCTATAACTGCAAACTAGCGGAAAAAGGCGAAAAATAGCCGACAAATTAGATTAAAGTTTCATTCATATTTTATTCTCTTAAGCATCTGTAAACTTCATTAGTTAAATCGGATGGTTACGGTACAAACTATACTTCAAGTGATCAGGGATCTGAAATTGATTAGCATAATTTTACGAATGAAAAAGTGTTTTTTTAAATGAGTGGCCCTAAGCTTAAACGTCGTTACTTTTTTAATTTCAAGTCGCTGGATGATCTTTGGTAATGCATCTTTTAAGACCAAAAGGAGAACTCTAACGAAATTTTGAATTATTTGTCAATACATCAGAGTCGCATTTTGTAACCTTTTTAATGAATTTGATTTTTATAATAATAATTATAATGTTAATTTATTAATATTATCCTTGATTATACCTTTTTTTACAAAACTTTTGGTCGTCGCAATGTCTCGGCTAACTCAATTTTGCTATTCACGAGAGTTACATAAAGTTTTTGAGTATTTTTCGAATACTTGCTACATAGTTTTGATACTTTTCAGAATGTTTGATTTAATGATCACTAATCTTCATTCTTAGTCACATTATTAAAAGATGCTTTTAGCTGGGATTTGGCTCGCATTGTAGTAATAAAGTATTGATTAAACTTCTGAAAATTAATATTTATTTATTTCTATAACTTGCTAGTATGTGTAGACAAAACTAATATAAATGATATGCCAGTAGCTAACAATATATTCAGATCATATTTTCAAAGAAGAGAGTTCAAATAGTATATGTTTATTTTAAATCAAAAATAAAGAGTGGAGTATTCTTAGAGTATGTGCTAATTTTGCAATAGTTTTGAATTTTATTGATTCCAACGGCAGTCATAAGCAATTATTATTTGTGTGATAATATATTTCCGCTGAATGAATATTTTTCTCTCATAGAAAGTGATGAGAAAATATTTCATCTATTTTTCATCTATGTAAATCTCATAAAGTATCAACAATTCATAAAATTTTTATTAAGATTTTTTTCAATGGGTCATTTTGCAAAATGTGCAAACAGTTTCAAAACGGCAATAATAAATAAGCAAATAAAAAATTTAAATAAGATTAACGTTCACTTGCATTGCATATTAAATTTTACGTAGGGTTGAAAATGATGGATAATATAAGGTAAAAACCTTTTTTTCCATCTTCATACCTTGCCAACTGTACTTATGCACCCACATACTTGCATATTAGACGCATACTTGGAAAATTGTATTACTAGCTATCTTTTTAAAAATGTGATTACGAAAAAAAGCCCTAGCAATGACTTCAATGGAGTAAGAACTCGAGCTTACAATGAATGAGAGCTAATTATATACGCCAAATAGTATCACGTTTTTCTCAGATGTTAAGAAGTTAATATGTCTGTTATTTCCCACGTTTACCAATTAGTTTCGGTCTAATTTAATGATAAAAACTCCAAACAATGTTGCGCTCAAAACCATCGCAGTTTGCGTAATAGACATACATAATTAGGCCATCGATCTATGTTTGCGCCGTACACTTGAGAAAAATGCTTGCCCCGAAATGAGAAAAAAAATCAAAATTCGATAGACAAACAATTGATGAATAAAAACTAGCTAATATAATAAATGTCAATGATTGGAGTACGTTATGTAGAAAATAGATGAGAGCTTAAAGCTCCAGCACGCGCGACGCGCATGGGAGTCAGTCGTCGATCAGTAACGGGGCCCGTGCACAGTTCGCTCGTTACACGCACCATTACTCAAAATGAAAAAATGGAAGCGTATATGCGATTATCAACTCGTGCCCACAAAGTTATTTACTCTCGGAAATATTTGCAGAGACAAAATAAATTATTATTTTTTCTCTTCGTTTTAAGCCACGAACATTTCAAGTTTGGGACATCTGGAAGTTTTGCTGGTTATTTATGAGAGTCACTGTAAACAACGATGACGGCGACAACGACTACTCTTTACCACTGCGACGGTGGCAAACACGCACACACGCCTGCATTGTCTGTGCATGTATAATATTGTACAGCACATTCATGTATATAAATATGTTTTAACGCGGCTGGGATGCTACGGTTGCGCGCTACAACGAGCGAGATGGAAAAAGAGGGTGGGACGCGACTGCACTGGGTAGATCGCACTGCTGGCGGGAGCGCCTTGTATGCTGTAGCTTCGCTACTGGCAGCCTAGGGCGCGATGATTAATTAGCCTTTGATGAATATGTATGAGAAAAAGGAGGAGGTGGCAAGTACGCCGCGAGTAAGATGATGAAGGACACAAAGGGCAAGGTGCAACCAGCTTCAGCTCCTCTTCGCACGCTATAAATTGGCAATGCACGGCTACTAAACATTTTACAACTTTTTTTGCAATCTCGAATTTGTATTG